ATATGGTGTAAATGGTATAACTTCAAACTCTACAAAATTTATAAAGATGTGGATATAATTAAATCCATAAAATTAAGTAGAATGAGATGAGCAGGTTACCTTCTTAGAATGAATGCACAGAAAATGGTCCTTAAGGCCTTTAATGGAATTCATGTTAATGGAAGATCAAGAAGACTTAAGAAAAGATGGAGGGACTGCCTGGATGAAGATTTTGTCATTCTAAAAATTAAGAACTGGAGGTCGATTGCTGGAAGGAGGGTGAAATGGGAAAAGCTTCTGAAGTAGCTTACAAGCCTACAAGGGGCTGTCGTGCCAATGTTGATGACACTCTTTTATTTTTAGAATGGCATGAAAAATGGATAAGACCAATTCAAATTTTCATTCACAGAATCAAGTTTATATTCTAACAGGTTTGCTATTTTTAATAATTTTTGTTTCTTTAGAAGTGTTTACACTAGGGTATAATTATCAGGTAACTTATGTATTAACGTAACCATCTTAGGAAAAGTCACCAAATTTTTAGAATCTGCCATCTGGTAACCATGCACATAACCATTCTTCTAGCAACCATCTCCATAACAATCCTTCAGTCAACCAATGCCACCATTTCTCTATGCCTTCTTTCTTGTTGCATTCCATGTTCCAATAGTTTTTATAAACTAATCCTGATAATTTTTGCCTTAAAAACTTAGTTTTAAAATATAAGCTTTTTGTCAACAATAGAAGAAACTGTGGTAAAGTGTCTGCAAGAATACAGAATTCTGCTGAAAATTTTCGAAAGGGAAAAACAAGAAAATGAGTTTCCTCCATAGTTGCTGCTGTCAAGGATTGCACAAAGCCAAGTCTCCCGAATTCTCTGATTTTTTTTTAAACAGATCACTGCGTACTTTGGGATAATACTGCAAAAAAATTATAGGAACATTTGAAGCAGTGTTTTATTTTTTCTTATGAATCCCATAATCCTTATTTAATAATTCAAATTTGTATTTTAAATTGCTAAATTATTTTTTCTTTTCATATGTTGATGATGTTTACCGACTTATGATAAATATTGATAGTTTAGGAAGTTTTGTAATAAAACGCAAAAACCACCAACTTGCACCCGATAAGTAAGATAAGTAACTTTTACCTTTTCTTCTGTACAAAATTGCCAAATTACACCAAGGTAGTTGCATTAATATGCAAGTATCAATTACCACAACTGGCATCAACAGAACTCACTGCTGTGTAACGAGACATTGCTGTATTATAAAATGTTATATAAGAATTGAAAGTTCATGGCTTTTAATGAAATGCTAATGCTAGAGTAAGGGTCAGGGAAGCCGAACAATCAGAAAATACATGATTTCATCATTATTGCAGTATCAGAGTAAGGCTTAAATTTTTTTTGATCCAGAAAGTTAAAGAAACATTTTATATTTTATTTTTGTGTTAGAAATATAAAATTGGCAAAGACTTTTCCATAGCAATTGTACATTTTTCTATTATAAATGACTAACAGAAATGATAATAATCATAATAATATTGATAATAACAACAAAACAAACTTACAATACAATCATGCACACCAGATCACAGAATTTGCTTAAAATTGGATGGTATTAAAAATGTGCAAGAAGACCATTCTAGCCTGGTTTTAGACAATAAATAACCAAAACTAGTATTGTATTAAGTCAATGTGAATGCTACTACTGAAGATCATGACACTTGTAATTTTTATGCCATACTATGAAAATATACTTTTTATAGTCACATACTACAAAAATAAAAGTTTCTAATGTTAAAAAATATAATAATAAATAAGAACCAGAAAAGCAGCAATGAAAGAATTTTAGATTAGGGTGAAAATACGATGAAACATTATTTAACTAAAAATAATAACAACAAAACAAACTTACAATACAATCATGCACACCAGATCACAGAATTTGCTTAAAATTGGATGGTATTAAAAATGTGCAAGATGACCATTCTAGCCTGGTTTTAGACAATAAATAACCAAAACTAGTATTGTATTAAGTCAATGTGAATGCTACTACTGAAGATCATGACACTTGTAATTTTTATGCCATACTATGAAAATATACTTTTTATAGTCACATACTACAAAAATAAAAGTTTCTAATGTTAAAAAATATAATAATAAATAAGAACCAGAAAAGCAGCAATGAAAGAATTTTAGATTAGGGTGAAAATACGATGAAACATTATTTAACTAAAAAAAATGTACCTCATTTTATAACCATTTGTAAAATAATACAATATTCATTTAGGACCTAAAGGAATATTCCTTAATGAAGGTCATTAAAGTCTTTCATTTTAATTATTGAAAATTGCAGCCTAAATCACAAATATCTTAAAAACCCGATACCTTAAATATAAAAATATTTTCAAAATTAAATTAAAGAAAATTAAATAAAGAATAATGGCTTTAAAAAATACCAGATACAGCAAATTTTATTCATAAATGATGAAAGCGAGAAAATTTATAATAAATTTAAATGAGTAAATTTTGACACTTAACATTTATTATATGTAGGGAGGTACGATTGGAGTTTTATAGTTTATATGCATTAGTAATGAAATATAAATTGCACACATCTCATTTAAAAAAATGAAAAATATACAGTAAATCATTGCCAGATGCAGATATTGTCATTAATACACTGCATATGTGACAAAATTATGCTCAACAAAGTTAACTTTACATGGGAAAAAATATGTTAGATATAATTCAGATTTAAAAAGTACATAAAATTTAAACAATCCTGCCTATGGAATTATTTCAGGAAAATGCATCAAAAATGGAATTTTTTAGAGTTAAAAAAAAACTCAAATTTCCAATAAGTGCTTTCATAGCTAATCTCACCCGACTTTCAAATAAATATGAAACAAGTATCGACATTTATAAACAAAACAGTGAATTACATTTCATTAGGCATTTGATAAGTGAAAATGAACTCATTTCAGGCTTCATGAAATAGACATACTAATTTTTCTCCTGTCCAAGTCCAGGTCAGGTATTCTCATTTTGGCATGAATGGGTTGCATGAACTGGATTTGGGTGACACTTATAAGGGGTTAAAAGGGAAAATAAAACAAACTTTAGCACTGAGCAATAATAAAAGGACTTTTATTATTGCTCAGTAAGTATATGATAACTCCCCTTTCCCCCTCTGAAGCTTCAAACTATGACCAACACAGCTCTCGTTTTGCAATGGAAGCACAGATATTTTCAATACTTCTTGTAAAATGTAATCTGCTTTCTTCATTTGGGTCATTCTCCATTGAAAAATCAGATAGTTTTTGTCTTTTTTAACAATTAATTTAACTTCTTGTAAATTAAAGACAAGTTATCTTCTTCATTATCACTGGTTTTACTGTCAACTAGTGTTGTAAGATCATAAAATTCTTCATTCCTCATTTCTTGATTAATTGACTACTTCTTCTCTCTTCTTCTATCTGAAGAGCCTTCATGTCTCCATTGCTTTTGCACTTTGTAAGAAGTCTTTGTTTTCAATCGATAGAAATCTTTTGAAATTGTTGATAGCTGATATCAGCAAGCATTTACTGTTAAAGAATGAATGTTGAAAAGAAAATGAAATTCTATGGACAAATTAAATGAAAATAATTAAGATAATAAGTATATGCAGAGTTCCGTTCTGCAAGGGTTTGGTGTACATTAAAAGCACATACTGCAAGGGTACATAATGAAATTAAATATATTTAACATAGTTTTATTATAAAACCACAGAAATATCTACCCATATTACCATACCACTAAATAATAAGACACAACATAATTATTACTTTATTCATTACTAATAATATGCAAATAATTCACATATCAATGCATAAATATGAAAATTATTTCTTTTTATAGCAGTACTAATCTAGAAACAAACATCTTACACTGATCTTGACCCTTCCAGTCTCTGCATAGAGAAAATACTAAATATCCATGAATTTCACAATCAAATGAAATTTCCATGAAATATGCCAGTGGTTGTAATTAAGCAAATTAAAAAATACATCAGTTCTTTTAGCATTATAACTAAGCATAACTTTTGTATTATTTTAAATATAATGGTTGCCCAAATGAAAAGTTGACAAGTTGAATAAAAAGAATACCTTTATTGGAAAGTAAAAGAAATTGCCATGGGATTTATGATACAGATCCTATCATTTTCGCAGCAGGTCCATACCTTTGCTGTACAAAGACCGCAGTTGTTTCTTGAGTAAGTCACTGTTTCAACTCGATGAGTAAAACCTACGACCATATTATAATCAGTGTATAAGAAAAGAATAAATGTCCAAGTTTAGATACATATCTGTCAGCTCCTCATATAAGCCACGGTCTTAATTTTGGGAAGTTTGCTTTGGCTGGATTTCTGGTAAACCTTCATGAGACTTCAGCTGCAATTATCAAAGCTGCTTCTTTTCACTGGAAATTTACATACATCAAATGCTTGACAGTAGTGTTCTGAAGAGATGTTACTCCTCAGCAGAACATAAATGATGTTAAGACATGATATTTGTACTTGTTGGGCATGATTTGAAGTCACTTTTTTTCTGACATTCTGAATAAAATGAAATCTTATGTTCCACTACAAATATTGTTCTTCTTGTTGGATGTGCTATTACCCATCTTATTCAGCTGACAAAGGAATACTCGGTGTATATAATTTACATGGAGGATATATTCCTTGATCATTTTCAAGAATCTGGTCTGATGCAGAACAATGAAAAATATTCTGCTTTAGAGCTTTGGGCTTTGAGAATGTCTCGGATAACTCTTATTACACTAAATCAATTTAAAAATATGTATCCTTTATATGAGTAAACACATATTCACATTAGCAGATCACCAATGATTTTATTGCCTGTCTTCCTCTGCAATTTATTCAGAACTCAGGAGACAATATTTATGCAATCTTTATCTAAAGTGAAGGCAATTTTTTTTAGATACAAATTTCATTTTATAATAAAAATTAACTAACCCTAAAGGCAAAGTTTCTTCCTCAGAATTATTTGCTTGCCGTTGATTATTTGATCGTTGTGATGATTGTGGCTGTGCAGTCTGAGGCGCTTGACTAGTTGCACTTGATGCACTTGGTAAGGCTCCATTCATATTAGCTGCTCCTATTGAAGTTGATGGTCTTGCTGAAGGTACAGTGTTGTTGACAGTTATTGCAAAGGAAGGCAAGCCTTGTGATCCACTAGCATCAGGAGATACTATGCAAGAGATTATATTTAAATTTTTTTTTAAATGAATTGCAAAACTAATTTTACACTTAAAATAAAATGCAGGGAATACTATAGCACCAAGTACCCTAATTAAGCAAACCAAAATTATTTTAACTATAACAGTCAAGACATATACTTAAAGCAACAATTTAAGTAAATGTTTAGAGATACAGGCTAATTTTAATATTCAGCAATATCAACTTTAAATTACAGTCAAAAGTCGTTAATTCAGACACCCATAATCCGGAATGATCTATAACCCGGACCTCAAAGCTACAAACTTTCTGTGCATGCGTCTCATTGATGCATGCGCGTAAGACCTTTATGGCTGCGAATATGTGTGTGCGCAAAATACGTTTACGAATACGCGTTTAATGTATAACGGATGGTATAAGCTAAGCTAAAATTATCTAATTCAGTTAATGTTGCAGATTGCGTTGTTCCTTAATCTTCGAATTGGATTCGGCTTATTATTTTGCAGACTGTTAGAGCAATTTTATAAAAAGTAAGCTTGAACTTTTATAAAATTGTTCAAGCTCACTTTTATATTATGTCAAAAAAGAGTTTCCGGTTCTGGAGCTGCCAAAGGATCTACGAAGGAAAGGACGTATGGACGAAAATGGTGTGAAACTGTGGATAAGAAATGTTTGGTAATAGTGTCCTGTTTCCTCAAAGAATCCAGGAAGTTTTTTTAGTTTGAGACACGTTCAGATCCCATCTAATGGTTAATGCCATCATTTCAGCTTTTAGATGTGTGTATCAATAAACCATTCAAAGAAAATTTAAAACAACAGTAAAATATGTAGATGTTGGAAGGTAAAAAAAACATTTTAAAAAGGAGACCTAATCCATCATACCAGTCTAGAAATAGTGTGTGAGTGGATAATAAAAGCATGGAATGATATCAAACCCAAAGTAATTCAAAAGTCATTTAAAAATGCAGTATATCTAATAATCTAGATAGAAGATGGATTATTTATTTATGGATCAGAGTAACAATGATGGTGAAGATGAAACGGAATTCGATGATGTGTTTGAATGTGGAAGACGAATAAGACAAACTTTTCATGTTATTGGATAAAGGAAATTTTTAAGTTCATAAGGTATGTCATTTCTTTTTTTGTATGCTCAACTTTTCCTTATTTTTAATCTATCATTTTTATATCTCGTGTATAAGAGACACGTATAAATCTAGATTTTATTTTTTGTAATAAAAGTGTGCATTATACGAAAGAGTATACAGCATAAACATTTGTAGATGAAAATGCGGAAAATGGTTCGCATATTGTGACTTACAATTCAGTTAGTATTATCAAAAGATTATAGAATAAATTTTTTAAGCCACCAAATAAAATCAAAATATATTATAAAAATTGTCAAGTGACAAAGATAAGCTAGTTGACAGATTAAGTCACCAAACAGCTTTGTTTTGATTTTTAATAATCACTTAAAATACCTCTTCCCCAAAAAAGCAAACTTTGTTAGACCTACATTCTAAATAATTCTATCGATTTTGAGGGTGTTCACACACAATTCACACATAAGCCCCTCTTTTTCAGGAGGGAAACAAATCATAATGTTTCAAGAAATATCAAATGTGTTTGTTGATTTAAAGTTTGTACGGAAAAAAAAAAAAAAATTGTGTATAAGGTCAATATAAAAGACAAAGTGCCAGCTTTGCTAAAGATAAATTAGCGAAAATATTCATACATTCCATTGAATATTCCAAGACACAATATAATTAATAGAGATGAAACTAGATTCTTTAAGAGAAAAACCTCCAAACAAAATACACATCTCAAAATATGAAAGGTACACCACAATTGTATTAAGCAAAATTCCTTCCCCCTTACTTATAAAGGAAAATAATACTTAAAACCATCTACTAAAGCTGGTTTTTTTTTTTTTTTTTTTTTGCTTAATTTTTAATTTTACATTGAGATGTTCTCTTTCAATGAAGGATGCCCTCTAAGTATTAAGATTAGGGTTTCAGCATCAAGCAAATAATTTCCTGAAACATTATGAATGAATTTTGACATTAAAGGCACTGTAAATAGTAATAACTTGGATAAATAATAAAATTTTTGCCTTTTCCTAATCAAAATGGTGTAGCAGTCCTTGTTTATATGTTTCTGGTTATGTTTACATTAAATTAATTAATTTCCATTACTATTAGGTAGGGCATTTTTTTTCTCATCATTTGATGGTATCAAAATTGTGGACAAATGTAATTATTCTTTAAGAGAAAAACCTCCAAACAAAATACACATCTCAAAATATGAAAGGTACACCACAATTGTATTACTTTTGTTTGGATGTACAGAAACTGACAAGCACAAATGTGCAAATTAAGTCTTCCTGCAGTAGCTCAGTTATGAAAAATGCAGATTTATGAAGTGTTAGTTATCTTTTATTTATGATTAGAGTTTAAACGAGGAATGTTTTTATTAAATGTTTTCAACAACCTTACTTCCTTTTCAATTATAACATTTTTTTTGTAACTGACAGCATTTTGATTACGTAAGATCAGAAATAATTGCACATTTGTTCTTTTAAATTTTGAAACAAAAGATATGAAGAGATAAATAAAATTTAGTACATTGATTGAGAACCATACCAACAGACGGAGATATTGTAGAATCATTAACAATTGCAGGAAGCGACTGGTGTCGATTGTCATTCTGAAGCCTGCGGACACCACTATTTGGGGACAGCCCATTAGCTGGTGACACATTTCCACTAGGTGAGGCAGGATTGTGGTTGTTTGTTCGACGAGTTCGAATCCTTACACCACCACTTACATTATTGGAAATATAAGAACTACTAGGATCATCAGTGGCAGAAAGTCTTTGTGAGCGATTATTTGGTCGGAAACTAACACTGGAATGGCTTTCATCTGTGTGATTAACTAGAATGTAAAACAATGGTTAAAGAAAGGAAGTATCTTTTCCAATGTAAATACACATAATTTTAAAATTACACACATAATTTTAAAAGGCATTTAAATTTACAAATAAAGCAGATATTGCAGAAGTTATTAATTGCAAAGAAATATATTCTTTCTAAAAATAAATGAAATACATAATTTAACTCTGTTAATACTGCAAACGAAAGTAGGAGCAATAAAATACATGCAAACATAAATTTATACAAAAAAATTACTTTTGAAGGTGGGGAAGAAAGATATAGTATACAGAAATTTTGATGTTGTCCTCAGTTTTAGCTTATACAAATGTAAATCTGAAAAGCAGCTTTGCAATTAAATTATGATACTTCAGTTTTCTAAACAAAAATTGTACATCAAAATACAAAAAATGAATAAATAAAAAAGGCAGTCCCTAAAGAAATATTTTTAAATTATTTAAAAAATTTCAGCTAATCAGGGGGGCAAAAAATCAAACTATTAATTTACAAATCTGATATCTCAGCTTTTAACATATTAAAAGAACAAAATTAGTAATAATAACTTTACATATGATAACAAAATCAGTACTTTCTGATCACCTGCCCAACCCTTCCAAAACATCCCCAATCATTAGTAACTAATTTTTCGCACACTTAAAGAAATGCAATGCTTTCCTTTTCATCAGCTGGTAAACTCCAATACGATAGATTCCTTACAACAAAAAAATCCACAAACTAATCAAACACATATCAGAAGAAGCACTACAAGAAGAATGACTTAATCAAAACAAGAAAAATGACAGTAAAAGTTGAAAAGCTGAAACCTGCACTTGTGTGCTGCATGCATGTGCATACTTGTGTTGAAGCATTAAATACCTTACTACACAATATTATATACTACACAATATTATTGATTGCCTATCTTGGTGGCATAATGCATTGCCTGGTGAATTCTTTTCAGGATTTGACAGATAACTAGAAAGTATCATAAAAACCTTCCCTGCTCCAGAACCAGGATAGGTACCTTTCTACACTTATGTGCCAATTTTTTGAAAGAAATATTTAATATATTCGTTACACATTTCTTTAGTAGAGGATAGCATGTTTTATTTACTGTATCTTTAGCATAGTATTTGAAGTCATAAGTCATATTTGAAGCATAGTCAGAAGCATTATGCACATATGTGATGCACTATTTTCAATTCTATCTGCAAATAATTTCCATTGTTTAAACCAGAAACAGTCATTTATACAGCAATCACAACGTTAAAAATTTTATGTTTATTTTATAAGGAAAAAAAACTAGTGCAATTTCTGATGTTGCAAATTAGATGCCAAACAATTTATATTAGATTTATACGTTATTACTTTTTGTAGAATGTAAGCTGAACTTCAGTCATCTGACAAACGGATTCTAAGTGAATCTTTAATGTTATTCATTGCTGAAAATAATGACTCACAGGCAGATGAAATAATTGTGAAAACAGGAAACACCAGCTTTTTCAGACAGCTACATGTCTCTAAAATTGAATTCCACATTTCTGTAATTTTAGTATTGGATTTTTGCTCATACTGCCAAATATTCTTTCTAATCAGACTTATTTCAACTTTTCCCTTATGTTGATAAATTTTTGCAAGTGCAGTTACATCAGGGTACATAAAATTTGAGTGTTTTTGATAACTCTATGAACTCAAAAAAAAAAAAAAAAAAAAAAAAAAAAAAAAAAAAACCTCAATGAAAATTCATTGAATTAAGGATATATTGCAAAGAAAACTCTTCAGTAACTTTTGCTTAATCTAGTTTTTCGTACAAATCCAAATTGCTTGTAAATTTTTTCAATTTTCGTTTGAGAAATACTTGTAATTTTAAGAAACAATTCTGTACTGAAAACTTGCAGTTTAGACACAAAAGCACGAATGAATTCTATCATAACAATAACTGTTTTGTTTGCACCTTGATGCTTTACATTCAAAGCACTGAAATGCTCGCACATCTGTAAAACACGTCAATTTTGCAAGCCATGTTACAACCATCAATTGTAAATGTTGTTCAATTCCCCCCCCCTTATTTCTTAAAAACATTCTGATTTATTTTAAGCAATCAACAAAGCTTTGAAATATGTTACTGCAGATCTACCAGTGAACATTCTTATAAGCCACTGTACACCGAATAGACTTCGTTCAACAAAGCGTCAGACTTCCATTTATTTAAAGCCTGAAATAATATACGGTTTACTATATTTGTGACTATGGCTAATACACTCAAAAGACAAAACATTATGACCACCTGTCAATAACAAGTTGGGGCACCTTTGGCGCGCAACACAGCTTCAACCCACCTTGGCATGGATGCCACAAGTCCTTGAGAGATGGCCAGAGACAGATTGTACCAGATGTTGTAGCAACAGTCATGCAAATCCGAGATATTGCGAATTGGTGGTCTTTGACCTCCGAGCTGCCGTTCCATGACATCCCAAATGTGTTCTATCGGATTGAGATCCGGTGCGCTAGGCGGCCAGGACATTAACTGCAAATCAGCATCATGTTCCTGGAACCACTCCAACACAATCGTAGCCTTGTGACACGGGGCGTTGTCCTGTTGGAATATTCCATTTCCAGCTGGAAAAACAGAGGCCATCTAAGAGTGCAGCTGGTCTGCAATGATATATACTCTGTAGATGATGTCAGATACCCTGTAGCATTCATGGTCTGCTCTACCCCAACCACGGGTCCCAGAGACGCCCAAGAGAATGTCCCCCACAGCATAATAATACCGCCACCACCGGCCTGTGATGACCTACTGTGCATTGAAGGGAGCAACTGTCGCCTGGAAATGGGTATCCTGACACGGCCATCGGCGTGATGAATGACAAACCGTGTCATCTGACCAGACACTCTCTCCACTGATCCATAGACGAGTTCGCGATGTTCCACCCAGCGCAGGCGCAGTTGGCGATGACGCTTGGTCAGCAAAGGCCAAGCGAGTGGACGTTTGCTGCATAGCCCCATATACAACAGTGTCTGCTGAACATGTGCTCCGATACTTTTCTACTGGGCCTGAATTTTTTCGGCTGTTCAGCTGAGCCACTGTCTACTCTCCATTTTGCTTCCCATGCAAAGACAGCCTCCGACGCCCTTTTCTTTGATAGCATGTGAGTCCAAAAATGTCTTCTACGCTGGTTTCACCATCATTCATCCACTTTTCAGCATATACAACTGTAATCGCAAACAAACACACGGTCGTGCACTTCGGAATACTTGTTCCGGCCTTCAGCAATTATAATCTCCCTCTATCAAAGTCGCTTAGATCCGCAGCCTGCCCAACACCACAGAGGAGTGAAAAAATGATTCTTCAGACTCTCCAGCAGCAGTTAAATACCACTTCCACCTGATCATGTGCCTTCCACGTCATCCAGGCGTGTTCATCGCAAAATGTAGGGCTGGTCATAATGTTTTGGCTCTCGAGTGTATATTAGCAAAGGATGTGAAACCATCCTTTGCAAACATCCTTATAAACAATAGAATTTATTTGCAGATAGAATTAAATTGAAAATAGTGCATCACAAATGTGCATAATATTTCTGACTACTTCAAATACTATGCTAAAGACACAGTAAATAAAACATGCTGTCTTCTACTAAAGAAATGTTTAACAGGTGCAAAATTTACTATCAGATTTTTTTCTTTCTTTCCCCTCCCCCAGCATGTCACAAATGCAACAAATAAAAATCATTCTGAAGATGTTTTATGTCCTAAAGATATTGCGTGGCATTAACTGCATAAAATATTTTTAAACAAACATTTTTTTATTTATTTTAATTTTGAATGGCCTCTATCTTCAAAACTACTTTTTCAGCATTACATATTTTTATATAAGATTCAAAATATAAGAATATTATTTATTATTATTCTAACCAAATATTGATGAAATGGAAGGCAATACCTCTGTTCATAAGACCTTCACACAAACCAAGCTGTTTCAAGTTTTGTGGCATACAGTAAATAAAAAACAGACAGTGATTGCAAATATATCCACAAAATGCCACAAGAAAATCATTAATGCATTTAGATCTTCTTGGGGCAATGAGGCAATAAAGAAAAATTCAACGCATTAAAAGGAAATTTCTTTTAATGTTATGCTATTTGACTTTTGTGACTTTAAAAATGAAAAAACTCAACTTATTTGGAAATAGTAAAACTATTTTAATTAATTAAAAGTAAGATGGTGGCCGATATATATTTTTTAATGAAACTTCAGTATAACCTTTATGAAATAACACTGATTCTCTCTTTATCATGCCAATACTATAATAGAAAAATTACCCTAAAACATTTTTAAAACATTTTTTTTTTTTTTTTTTTTTTTTTTTTTAGTGTTACATGGGTTTATGCCTTCAAAATGGCTAATTTCTCTTAAGATCTATGATAGTCACCCATGTTTTCCAATAAAACACTTTGCAGAAAAAGTTCCATATTAAAATCGAGAACAGGCCTTGGAATAATTTAGTATATGATGAGGATAGTGATCTAAAAAATCTGATAGCACTTCGAGAACATGCTTCATGTTCGATAAAAGATGTAATTTTTAAAACCTTTCACAGCACTGACACAAAGTAACTTACCATCATTATTAAGACTTTCTGAATGACCTCTTAAGGGAAATCTTGTTAAATCTATATGCAAGCCATCTATAACAGTAACAAGATGACTGGATGACCTTCCTGTCTTACAGTTGGTGTTTAACTCAACAGGACATGGTAATTTCTCCACTAATAAAAATTAAATGGGAAAAATTATAATTCATAAGGACTGTTACTGGAATCAAAACACTAAATGTAAGCTATTTTATTTAAATATTATAAACAAAAAACATACATTTTCCTTCATGTTTCACAAGCAACTTGTATAAATCTATGGAACCTTCTCCTAGGAGACCATCCTTCATTAGAGAACTGTGATTCAGAACTCTAAAGTGTAATTTGGAGTATGGTGTCACGAGTCTGGGGGGGGGGAAATATATTACCATTAATTGAAAAAAAATCATTTTAATTGTTTACAAGAATAAAAGAAATTTTATATGATGATAATTTACTATTAATCTCAAAATTAAATTTTTATCTTTTATACACACACACACACACTGGTCAAAATTAAAGGATAATGAGAGAAATAAAACATTACTGACACGTAATGAAAAATTATTAATAGAAATTTGTACAAAAGCATTAATTTACATAAATTACAATGTTTGGCAGTTGATTATTCACAAAATATTGAAATTAAAACCAAATTTATGGAAAGTGATGAAAAAATTCAATCACCTCTTGTGGAAAATTTTTTTCTTTAATATGGTGTATGATCACCTAAGCATTGATCAAGTCTTCTGGAATTCATGAAGTCTTGTGGAATTACTAAGTGTGCTTTTCAGCTCCTGGAGGGTTTAGGGAGGAATTTGGTGCACTGAAAGTTCAGCATCTTAAAGCATCCCACACGTACTTAATCGGGTTCAAGTCAGGTGAATAAGGTGGCCAATCCATTCACATAATATCCTGCATTTGCAAGTATTCTGATACCATATATGCTTGATGAGGTCACGCATTGTCATCTATAAACAGTCTACCATGGGGTTCCAATACCTTGTCTACGTATCTCCGAGCAGTTACAGAACCTCTATATTACTGAAGTTTACTTTCATCAAAACTCTGAGATTGATTAAACTATACATTGGTACATAATACAAAAAGACATCATGCATCAATAACTTTTACAGCATAGGTCAATCATGCTTCAATAGCTTACTCTTTGGCTGGCAGATGGAAACATACAAGAACTGCAATATCATTTCTCTTATCATATTATTTGTTTTCTGACTATAAATGTGAAATAGTAACTGGTATCCTTAAAAGAGCATGAGTAATTATCATGTACTGTCTTTGTATAAATTGAGAAAATTGAAATACAGTATAGTGACAATATTCAGCAGTATCAATATGATGTGAGAGCATTTTAAGTAAATAGCTCAGCTCTAGTTTTAGAAACTTTGCTCTAAAAATCTGAATGCTTGAGAAATAACAATGTAAAGAGACAGCCACTGAAGATGATAGTCATAAGCAACTGGGGACGAAAGTAATACAAAATAAAATCTCCCTCTAACATATGAGAAATTGCTACACAGTTAAACCACAGCCAAGTAGCTTCTCATAATAGTATAATAAATCCTCTAAATTAATGTTAGTGAAAAAATCCATTTATTGAGTGAGCTACACAGATCACTAAAAGATCTGTTCATTTTTGCTCAAACAGAACAAATCAAATTAAATTTTAGATAGCATGGTTATGTGCAATCAAAAATAGATTCAGTATAATACCAGGTAAACAACTTCTGTGAACATTTAATTATGAAACTTTTTACATACATAAAGAAAAATAAGATAATGTCTTTTACAAACTTGCAGTGTTCTTCTCTACAGCTTCATATAAGAAGTAAAACTTGCTAATAAATGCTAGCACTAATTAAAAAACTAGGATCAATCTAACTGTGATATCATTTACATGACACATGAATGCTGTTACCAAGTTCAAACAATTTGCTAAGAATGTTTAAAGCCAACTGTCACACAGTACTTATCTTATAGCTGAAATCACTTTCGTTTCTTTCATAGCTTGAACGCACATTTTTCTCAAGAATACTCTTTCAACAAACAAACAATTAAAAAAAATTTTTTTTTTTTTTTTTTTTTTTTTTTTTTTTTTTGTTTTTTTTTTTTTTTTTTTTTTTTTTTTTTTTTTTTTTTTTTTTTTTTTTTTTTTTTTTTTTCTTTTTTTTTTTTTTTTTTTTTTTTTTTTTTTTTTTTTTTTCAGAATTTTCTTCCAGATTCTTCCAACATGGCATTGCTCTTTTCCAATATTATGTGATATATAACCTTTCATGCATTTTCATCATACATCTCTCTTATGAATATTAAATTATTATAAAACCTAACAGCTAAAACAATTATCAGAAATACTCTTAAAAGAAAGTTTTAATTCTACAGGTATACTATATATTTGAAAATCACGATTTTACACTGCATAAACCAGGATACATTATAAAAATGCAACTATTAAAAGCATCTCACGAGAAAATATACATAAACAATTTTCAGTTATATTCTCAAATAATAAAATGGGTTCATCAATAATGAAGTATGTGCAATGTACGTGAAAGCATGTGCAAATGATTTTCTATAGATGTTAACATTTTAAACACATCTCAAATTTCAAAGCCCATACGATAAGATTTGTTAACAGAAAATGTTAATGAATTCTGATACATAAGTAATCTCTTCAATGTTATAAATATAATCAGTATATAATAATATAGCTATTTCAGATGTTCCTCAAATACAGATTATAATATTATATCAGATAACAAAAATTTTGTTTTTTGTATAGTTGCAAATAACTGATCATTTTAGAAATGAATGAAAATAAATTCATAAGTATCAGAAATTTCTGGCAAACAGAAAACCTAAACCTAGAATGATTACACCGAAAATCGGTGGAAATTAAAGACTTGAACCTTTAGATCTCTGCAGTTCTGCAATTTAGTTTCTCTGCTTCCCCCCCCTTTTTTTTCTTTTTACACAAAAGTCCTGATAAAATTTGAAGATTGTACACTTTTTTTACTTTTGTTTACCACACACTAAAGGGTGGAGTACTAATCGAAGTTACTAAAAAGAAGGAATTAGACATCTTCGAAGAGGCCATATACGAGAGAATAAAAGATTAGCAGAAAACCTAGAGACAAAGCACCCAACACTTATCAACCCAAAGATACTAATATACAGTGTCAATGAGGACATAGAACAGACAAATGAAAGCAAAATATGGATGACACTGGGTTATCTCTGCAAACCCAAATACATTTAAAGCAATACTAAGAAAAAGAAAACTTAACATAAAATGGACAAGGAATAATATAAAAGAGTTCTTAACAATAACCCAATGTCACAAATGTCTAGGGTTTAATCAGCAAAAAATTGCAAAGGGAATCAAAAATGTGCAGAATCAAAAGGAGCATCAAAAGGTAAATTGCAAAGAAATTTAAAAAAAAAAAAAATCTGAAATGTTTCAGATTTTAAATTACGTCCAAATTAAATTACGTTTTTTTAACGTTTTGTGCGTTATCTTTATTTGTTAAACATCATGTTCCTTCGCACTTAAACCACAAAATTCAATTCAACAGCAATATCGCAAAATAGTTTTAAATGAGCATATCTTTAGAATTTCCGATACAAACTCACGCGCTGGAGATAAAAATTTTTTTTCTGCATAACATTGCCATTGCTTTTGAAATCCTTGAGTTTGTAATCAAAAATTCGTCAAATTTAAAAAATAGGAAATCGATCATAAAACAAATTTCAAATTTGGTCTTCCCACATGCTCATATTCGTTGGAGGATTACATTATTCAAAATTCGATGACTCTATGTACCGTTTGTTTTATCACAATACGAGAAATATACATATTTATGCAGATTTTCATTATTTTAATTTCTTCAAATATAATGCTCTAACATTTTGTGGCAACAGTTTGAAAAGTGAACCGACATTTATGAGTCCGACCCAAAATGCCAAAACGAAACTAATAGTCCTTCGGGATTCAAATCCCTTTGGACTAACAAAATGTTTAAACTGCCCAAAAGTAAATGAAAAATTTCACACAGGGTTAGATACTAATCATGATACCAGAGATAAAAACTGTGCTTGCTATGCGAGAGAACTAGAAAAACTAAAAAGAAGAATAAACTATGAACGATAAGATAGTAATTCAAATAAATTTACAGCACTCCAGGAGTGCTACGATGAGTTTAAGAGACAAAATTGAACAAGATAATAATATAAAGATAGCAAGTATCCAGGAGCCATACTTCAAAAAGGGGAAACTTTACGGCTTTCCCGCAATTCCCAGGAAATTTTGCAGCAAACATAACGCCAAAACAGCAATAATCCTAACAGATAGAGCCATTCCGGCTTTAGCAATTAAAAGCGACGAGGAAATAACAGTGATAAAGATTGGGGGTCCTAACCCCTTCATCATTGCTTCCGTTTAATGTCCACCTTCACAGGACATAACCACCATCCTTGTCAAAATAGAAGACATGATAAAAATCCACCAAAATTTCCCCTTCATAATGTTGAAAGACTTTAATGCGAAGCATCCCATATGGGGACCAAGTCACCCCGACCCAAGAGGATTACAAGCATGTAAGCTCCTTGCTTCAAGAGACTTCGCATCAATAAACGACCCAAATAGTATACCAACATTCTCAGGGGCAAGAGGAAATTCCTGGGTGGATCTTACCCTCTTTAAGAAGATAGGATCACTCACAATAGATAATTGGAGAGTCACAGATGAAGAGAACCTAAGTGATTATAACAACATTTACTTCGAGATAGGTCAATTCACGTATGACAATGCAAAGAGACATAAATTGCGTCTTAAAAACATCGACTGGCTGAAGTTCCGCTACCTCCTACAAGGTAATTATACCACTCCCACCACCCTCGAAGATCCAGAGGACATTGATAAATACATAGACAATACAACGGCTCTTCTAAAAGAGACCTACTAAAAATTCAAAAGACCAAGCAGACAGACCGTCCATGATTCAAAACCATGGTGGTAGCAGGAGCTTACTCTAATGTGGAAACGCACAAGAGCCCTCAGAAGATTTCAGAGATCTAATCTAGAAGACAGAAGGAGATTCAGAATACTTTATAAGAAAGGACAGGCGGACTACAAACAACAGACGTTTAAAGCTAAAAGAAAAACATGGGATAAATTTTGGGAAAGCATCAACATAGCTTCGCCTTTCAAGACCTATTATGCAATCGCCAAAGGGAAAAGTCTTAGCCCACTCCAGCTATATGCTATCCTGAGACCAGATGGTACCACAACGACCATTCTAGAAGACACGTTCAAGACAATCCTCCAATTCCACTTCCCAAAGGATGATGCCGATGACAATACCCCATTACATTGGGCAACAAGACAAACGGCAAAAGAACCCCAAACACAGCAGATGACCCCTTTTCTTTATCATAGAAATAAAGAGGGTCATAGATCAGACCAAACGAGGCAAAGCACCAGGCTTAGACGACTTAAATAAATATAGACTTCATCGAAGAATTAAGAATTTCAGATGATCTCCACATACTGTTTAATGCGCGCCTTACAAAAGGCTATTTTCCGGATAAATGGAAAACTGCAGAGTTAGTCCTCTTTCAAAAAGACGGCAAGAATCCAACATATGCTAATGCTTATCGCCCCATTTGCTTACTTTCAGCATGGGGCAAAGTCTTAAACAAGTTACTCACGCAAAGACTCAACCACCATCTGGAGGCAAATAAAGCCCTGAACCGAGCTCAATACGGATTCCGGATTCACAAAAGGATGAAGCACAACTTATGCCTTAAACAATCTAGTCAAAGAAATTAAAAACAATACAATGAAAGGAGAGCACAAATGTGTCATCGCTCTAGGCGTTTCATCGGCCTTTAAACACCTACGGTGGCCAGCCCTCTTGGATCAATTACTGACACTAAAATGTCCAAAAAATATATACAATCTAATTTGAAGCTATCTAAATAATAGAACCATAATATACCAAACAGACGGGGTCAATATCCTCCACCATTACAACCAAGGAGCCCCACAAGGTTCAAATATAGGCCCAATACTTTGGAATGTCTTACCCAACATAGTACTCAATATTGATTTATAAGGTGACGCTACAATACAAGCTTACACAGACGATCTGATTCTAATAATGAGTGGAGATAATAGAACAACCATCGAAAGAAAAGCACACAGAGCGTTAAATAAAATAGAATGTGGAGTAGCACTTATACGCTTCAGTTTAGTAAAGACAAGACCAAAATGATAGTCTTTCCAAAGGGGAACAAGCTAGTCAATAGGCCTCTGAGGATAAAATGGCAAAACAACCCACTCAGATGTCAGAAGACCTTAAAATACTCGGCTTCCTATTAGACAAAAAGCTTACATGGGTGCCACACCTCGCCGAAGTCAAAACCAGGACCAACTCTCTAATAAATCATTTAAATATATACGTAGACTAAAAATGGAATTTAAAAGGACTCTTAATTAAAGAACTCTACCCAAGGAGTAGAATGCATGATTCTATACGGTAATCCAATATGGATGACAAATATGACCATGGTCAACCAGAAACTCCAGCAAATCCAGAGAATCGCCCTACTTAAGATCACAAAGGCTTACTCTACAACCTCAACGGCCACCCTTCAAATCTTGGTAGGCGGCATCCCATTGGATCTGAAAGCCCAAGCCGAAAGACACCTCAACCATTTAATCCACTACCAAGAACCAGTTTTATAGACAGCAGTTACATAATCCCAGAAAGGTATGCAGAACAAAGATCCCAAGTTAAAAGGCATCCAGCAGATGTCACAGAATACTCATGGTTTAAGTACACCCCCATGGGCCAAGGCCTGGAACTCTTCACCAATGGTTCCAAATTCAACAACCAAGTCGGCTCAGTATTTGTAGCTTTCCATAACAACTTGGAGCTTCACTCCGAATCCTATATGCGACACAGCTACGGTGTTCCAGTCTTTTCTAAGTCACATGCGCTAAAAAGACCCCTCTTATGGTTGTATCATTACAACATTAACACCTGTCATTCAGAAGTGTCAGCATTCACGGACAGCCAGAGCATCTTACAAAGTCTAAATAAAAGATTTCAGGTTCCGCTCCATATTGATACGCTACGTCACCTATCAGAAGTGTCAGCATTCACGGACAGCCAGAGCATCTTACAAAGTCTAAATAAAAGATTTCAGGTTCCGCTCCATATTGATACGCTACGACACCTATTAGACTCAAACTCTATGACAGTTCGACTCAATTGGGTTAAATCACACATAGGCTGACATAGGCTGGCATAGACATAAAATGAAAGAGCTGGTAGTCTGGCAAAAGACGCCACCTCACATACTAACATCGAGGTCGATGTCCCACTGTCGGAGGAAGCTTCAAAGCACGGGATTCTTCAGTTTACACTTGCCCAATGGCAGGAAAGATAGGACCGCAACTCAACAGGATGGCACACATACTCAATCTTCCAAAGAGTTTTCTGTTGCTCTTGTAGAGCCGAAGCACACAATACGGATGCCCTCCATTACATCAGAGTGCCCACTTACTTCATTACTGAGAGATCAATATTTTCCGAAAGACTACAGGTCTACGGACTATGCAGACCTGTTTAAAGATTACTCCAGCCTGCGAGGGATCAAAAACATCATAAAATAAACTCAACACCAGGCATTGTAATACGCCTTTAAATAGTTCACTTAGATTATGTCGGGCATGCTAGCCTTTGTAAATATTGTATCGTGCAATTGTATTTTATATTTTGTATTAAGTGTTAATAAAGGACAAATGTCCACTAAGCTTTCGATTGCTGGCGCAACGACCAGAGTGATTCGAACAGACCTGTAATACTAAGGGTGAGACAAGTAAAGGATAATTGCTAATTACCACACACTAACAGTATTTTACAGTAAATACAAAAATTAAGAACTGCAACTTTTATAATAATTTTTTATTATAAAGAACACTAACACCTAAAACCTACCGAAGACAGAAAAAAATATCAATTAAATGCAGTGCTGAAAATATTTTTTATAAAAAAATTACATATTTAAAAAGAAATTAGGAAATTTGCATAACATTTGCAATTCAGGAGAAAGAAATGTAAGAAAACAACATATTTCTCTCAATTTCATTTTTTAATTCCAATCCTTTTTACAGGTTTCAAAATATGATACTATTGAAAAATATCAAAATAATAAAATTTTCCTTTTAATGAAATTAAACCATCATCAGAAATAGATAAATACAACAAACAAAGAAATAAAAAATTATCTTACATTGGAAACTGTTCATCCCATTTTGGATTACATGTATTTTTGCTATACTCTGTTTTAACAGGTACACCACCATCAACACTAAGTTCCACATATGGGCTCGGTTTAAAGAGGACACTTGTTGAATTGAGCTTTGCAGATACAACTAAATGAAAAGCAACAAATACTTATACTTTCACAATCAATCCAAAAATTACTTGAAAATTTACAAAAATTAATAAAATTTAGCATTTTTTTTTTTGCTCAGAAAGCCATCATTAAGTCTTGCAACATTTCAAACTTGCATATTACAGACTATGCAATTAATTTGGACAATTTCTAAAATTTGCATGCCACAAATCGGTGATGTATTAAGCATTAGATATCTATTTATAAACATATTAATTGTAAAAGAAACAGTTTTGGCAATAGAGGCATTTCTTTTTTAAAATTTGTATGGCTCTGAGAAGAGCCTTTTTTTTTTTTTTTTTTTTTTTTTTTTATTATCATTATTATTATTATTATTTTAAACTTGATCTTGATATTTACTTCTTGCTTTTCTTTGGAGTTGCCTTTTTAACTGCTTTAAGTTTTAAGTATCTCAATATTAGCGAGTAAGTAACTTAAGTAGCAAGAAAATACGTGTAGCCGTTTAGTAAGTGACTTACTTGTAACATTTAGCTCAAACAAAGAACTACTCTGACGCAAGGCTTCCCCCATAATCAGATGTTGAAGTTCTTATAAAAGCTTTTAAAAAAAAAGAGAGAAAGGTACAAATTATATCAATGTTTATCAAATACACAAAAATTCAATCAAAATTTTACATTACCCTTAAAAATATAGTTACTGAAAACAGTCGTATATGAGAAAAGTTTGTACGCTAAAATAGAAAACAATAATTCTGTAATATATGAACTAGAAAAAGTTAAAATATCATATAAAATTTCCAAAATATACTTAAAATAAATTATTAAGTTTTGATTGCATTTAAACACCAGGCATTGTAATATGCCTTTAAATAGCCCAGCACATTACTAAAATGACTGGGCACTCAGATGACATTATTTTCTGATCAATATCAATAGTTGTTTATATATTTCTTGAAAATTTTAGAACAAAACAACCTTAATTATGCCTCAACAGTATTAATTAAGTTTTAAATAATTTCAGTACTTTCTAATTATCTCTACACAGATTTCAACAATTTGCCATGCATATATACATCCAACAATAACCAATCCATGATATGCTTGAATACACATGATATACATATACACATTAATTTACATGCTTTATGTTTAACCATCATTACTGAATAGTATTCACTAACTGTAAAAATACAGTACTCACTTCTTATTAAACTTACTGGTTAATAAACTCAGCTGCTTATTATGTTCAAATTTCCCAGAACCAAAACAAATGCATTAAATTAATAGAAAAACTGTCATTTATTAGACTACTCTCTGCTGCTTATTAAACTGAAATTGGCATAAGACAGTTTTCAGAGCCAGAATATATTATTTATACCTATCAAAGCTTTTCATAATTCATTCATTTAATGTACCATGCTTTACATTCAAGTATGTAGTGCTCCAATAAAACACGTTTGCCTGAAAGTTTCCTACACCTCGCCTATATACATGCGAGACACAGTTTTCACAGTTCTTTGTCCTAGCCCAACTTCAAAGTGACAGAATTTCCTTAATGCCTAGAGGAACTGCAAATGAGTGAGGTTTACTTTCGGATACCAGCTCATAAGAGGGAGAGTGAAAATTTCTGTATCCTAACTTTCAAGGTTCTCAGTTTTAAAATCTTTCCTTTGGGATACACACACTATAGAGATAATTATAAAAAAGTCACATACAGAGAGTTATAAAAAAATTTCACGAAGTGCTTCTAAGGCACTGCTGTACATTAATAGTCTTTGAATGGAAAGGAAGTAGTAACTACAGACTGAAAAAAAGGGAAAGAAAGCATTGATTATGTTTGTAATCATGAAATAGCCTCTCTACTGGGTAGAAACATAAATTTTGAAGTTTGAATAAATTACTGGAAGAATTTTTTTGCATGCTTAACTTGTAACATGTTGAAATGCTAAGCAAAAAGAAAATGATAAGCTGTTAAAATATTTTGATGTTCTTGGTAACTGTAACCAGAGGAAAACTACATTTAAACTGGAAATTTCTCAAACAGCATTGTGCAGTTTATTTAAATAAGGATTTATAATTAATGAAAAACTAACAAAAAATGAAAATGGCTCAATGAAGAACAAAATAGACAGAAAATTGCAAGACACTGAAATTGCTTTTCCAAGATGGTTTCAAACTATAAAGCTAAAAAATTTTTCTATTTCTACGGTTTTCTTAACTTTTCAGTAAATGCTAGGGAAGAATTTTATACCAACTGAATTTTGGTTTATAAGCTGGAAAAAAAGAAACAGCATTGTTTATCAGAAACTGCACGGTGAGAAGGAAGAAGCAGATCATTACATGGCTGATAACTGGACATAGCAGGTCCAGCCCGTAAGTTATTGTATATTTTGACTAATAGCAGACCACTATTTATTTTTATCTTGATTATTGCTGTACATCGTAATTGCATTTACATCTTTTAACACCTTAATGTGTCATTTTGAGCGGACGCGTCGGGAAATTGGAACAGAGAATTGAGACTAAAAAAATTTTTAAAAACAATTCATCTAATTAAATAAAATATTTTAACGCAAAAGTTTCAATTGTCTGTTTTGGCGAAACGCGTAATGGAGTTAGCTTGGTTCGATGTTTAATTAGAAAATTCCCTTGAAAAGCCAGATTGGACTTCGAATTGAGCTAATTTACCATTTTTCGCTTTATATTTTTATTTATTTTTTTAAAAATATTTTTTTGTTTGTTTTATTTGTTTTAACTTGTTCCATCGATTGGTTTCTGATATGTTTTTACTTTTCACTTATCACATCGATAGGTATTTTAATGTATTTTTTGCCATTACTAGTTTCCAACGATTAGTATCTTACTGTGTTTAATATATTTTACATTCCATTTTGCGTGCAGCCTAGCGTGTAGTTTTTCACCCTTCAATGACATTGTTTTTTTAAAAAAAATGTGTTGAACTTTTTGGCAAGCTCTCTACAATTTCTCATTTCATTAATTTTGCAGCATATTGCGCAAAAAAATTTTTTAGACCAAATTGGTCTTTCAGTATTGCAATTACTTCCTAGCTTGTTAATTATATATACATATAGAGAGAGAGAGAGAGAGAGACTGCTAAATAAAAAAAAATGACACAAAATTTACTATACAGATGAAATTGGACAGCATTCAGAACATTATCAGATGACACATTAATATTTAAAACTGGAACAGCAGCTGATTAAAATTATAATTTACAAAAAAATATTTATTTGTTTACTTTATTTAACATTTCGTTCAATGTAAGTTATTAAAGTTGCTACGTTTTTTTGTGCTAATATTTTCTCTTTAATTCTGCAGATGGACATAATTTCTTGTTCAGTTACATTGCTGAAGTCCTGCAATTGCTGTGTCGAAAATTCCGATTAACTCGTCAATCGGAATTTTTTTGTTTTCAGTAAACTCTCTCTCACTTTCTTCACTATCGGTAGCGATATTTTCTGGATTTAGAACCATAGTACCGATTTTGATACCCATTGATTGATGATTGATGAGCAATGAAAAACTTCTCTTATATCATCTTCATTTATAAGGCTTCTCCACATTTCTTTACAAAATCCTTTAATTAGATAATTTCACCTTTGATTTGCGAGATCCGAAAACCTTTAAAATTCGCGGCTATGATCATAAAATTTAGCTATCGTTTACATACATATTCGGCTGTGTATCATGAGATTGACGACTAAAGACAAGTTGCTCCACTAAATTTTATCTTGCTTCTATCGCACTCTGAGACAATTAAGTTTCAATTGTATTAGTTTAGGTATTTAGTATACTTATGTCTATTTCTTGCACATGCTTAAGGTTTATCCGAGTCCTGAATAAATAAATTTCCACATATACTTAAGGCTTATTGAGGACCAGTGCTAGATATCTTACTGCCTGATGCAGTCTCCTGTGGGTCCTATATTCTGTTACCAAATGCCTCCCTTTCTCTTCCCTAAATTTTGCTACCCGGTGTGGCCATATGAGCCCTGGCGCTGGTTCTGGGTTTATATGAATAACAAATCAGTTGTTCTTAATTCAAATAGCACTAAATGTAACCTATGAGTATCAAAAAGAAAATCGATTTTTAGCATATGGAAAGAAATTTTTGTTAAATTTTTTCTTGTCAACATTTCTTGTGCATTTAACTTAAATCTGTAATCATGACCAAGTGTGATGTCAGCGTAAAAGATTACCATACTCTTCATTATTCAATTAATAACAAAAAATTATTTAGGCATTGCTACATGAGTCATTACTCAAATTGTCATGTATTGATAAACATGCAGCGATGATAGCAAAACATAATAAACAATTATTTGCCAGGTTGGCATCAGGGATGTAAAATATTAGTAAGTGTAAAATCAACGATATATCTATGTAGAATGTTTTAGTTTGAGATGTATACCAAGCAGATATGGATTGTAGCCAAATTCTCGATCATACAAACTTATGCTAAACTGATCGTTTCTTCAAGAGCGAGGCATTTTATTTAATGCCAAAGTGAAATTATGAATCGGGACACTCCACGTGTTTTGTTATGCATGGGGAATCAAATGCGCATGCGTAAAACATACATAATATATATATATGTTACTGTGAAAGACCGAAATTGGTGAATGTCACGTCAGTGAAAGATCGAATATTACATTACATTCTTGTACATTCGGACCCTCACCGGTGTAAGTCGACAATCACAGATATGCTCTGGTGTAGGTCGGATATAATAGTTTTTGTTGGTTCAATGCATAAGATTTGAATCACACAATTTAGTAAGTTTTTTATTACTGTTATTTTATTTTCTCATTTAGAACATACTGAATAATTCAGTAAGTTTTTAACTTCTATTATTTCCTTCTTATTTGAATGTACTGTGTGTTTTAAGTTCTTATATTCTTAAGTTCTTATTTTAAGTCTCATATGCGTTTTTTCGCTACTGAATACGGAGAGGAAAATATAATATTCTTATATGTTCAACATTCACCATTAGACATGGTGAATGTCGACATTTACGGTGTAAGTCAGAAATAAGAGTATTTGGAAAATATTTCGGACATACACCAAGCGACTACGTTAATGTTGACATTCACCGGTGAGAGTCAATATTCTCCAGATTTTGGTGTTTCACTGTAACATATATATACAAGTTTTTGGTGGCATCGAGGTCTGGATTTTAGATCATTCCAAATGTTGGACATCCAGATCTTGGACTTTGCACTGCATAGTATAACAGATTTATAAAGGGTGCCATATCTTAAAAAGCTTAGGCCTTATCTAGTCTAAATCTGGCCCTGAATAAGTCGATATCTCTGCTAGAGGTCCGACATATTATAGTGAATGCAGGAGGTTAAACCCTAAAATTTAGTTAAAAAAAAACTGGAAAGCAGTATCTAGAAAAGCATAATGAATTCTAAGAAAAATCTTGAATTAAAATGCACTGACCAAAAATCTTATCAGAAGTTTTATGAAACTGAGAATACAACTGAAAATTGTTGTTGATACCACCAACAAATACAATAGTTGTTTTTAAGAGATAAATTTCATCAAAAACATAATTATAAAAAATATTTTTATAAAACTTTTTTAACAAATTTCAAAAGTCCATACATAGTTTAATTTTAGAATAAATTTAAGAATTAATTGTTAAGTTATTATTTAACTTGAAGAGTTTAAATCTTGTACCATGATTTATAATACACAAATCACCATTTATTAAACTCAATTACATTTGGGACATAAGTGATTTTAATAAGTGGCAGATATTATATCACATCCAGTAACTTTTGTTCCCCCTCCCATAAAATTTCTTGTTTCTTATAAAATGCTTTATTTTATTATTATTTATGAACAGAACAGTACCTCTAAGACATAAATATTGCCAAACGAATGTTTTCACTAATTCCAAAAATGGCCATTGAGTTGCTAACTTTTCACTGGGGTTATTAGGGTAATCAGAAAGTACCATTATTTATTTAACGTTAAATATGTTTTTAATGCTCACACTTCATTCAAATAAAATTTATTCAAGAAAAGCTTTGATCCATATTTCTTTTCCGAGCTTCTAGATGTTAAATTTAGAAAAATTCATGCCCATATTTTCAATTATTATCCTATTCAATAGTTTAATATACTACATAAGTATGAAAAGAAACCTGTTTCTCAGTGGCTGATTTTAAGAAGAGAGAGGCTCATCTTGCATCAACTTTTGAGACTCTTCATCTCAAAACGCCAGATATATTTACTAATTTTAAAAAAGATTAGCCTAAATTTGCCACTCTCTACAAATGCGATGCATTTCTCCATTAATTCACCTCTGCATTTCTAATACTTAATATTTGCAATCAATAATAGCAACCTATGTTGCTACTTTCATACATTAAAATAAACTACATGCAAAAGTTCTCTCTCAAATGAATAATTTTCCACAAATATTCTACTTCCTATCAATGATTTCACTATACATCTGTCTCAATAAACACAAATCGGTAAGTTACAAAATATGTAATTAAATATAAAATACAGGCAATACAATTTTTCCCATGTCTAAGCAGATCGTAACAAATAGGGGGCTCTAGTGTAGAATTGGGTACCCCTTCGATTAGCAACAAATTTTGTTCAGTTTGGGCAATGAAAGCCCATTTCTGGTTACTATGATAGTTTTTAACTTTGTTTAAGCTACCTGATTTTTTTTTTTAAGTGAAAATAGATCGATGTGTACACGGGCAAAGTTAAAGCAGTGCGCAATGCCTGGTTTGTACAATTATCTAAGGTTTTTTTTGTGAAAATAGATTGATTGTGTAAACGGACACCAAGTTTGTCAAATTCTTTACCTTCTTATTTTGGTTTTATGTAGTGAACATCTTGAAATCATGCCTTGCTGGTGCTGACCTTGACATAAAAAAATAATAGGAGAAAAAAAAAAAAAAAAAAGGAAAACCCAATTGTAAGTTTTTACCAAAAAAGTTACATGACAGACATTTTTCACAAAATAAGAAATGTAATCACAGAAGTGTCGGTTGATCTTTACAATATGGTAACTGGTAGTTTGGCAACATTTTGGAGGCGATAAAGGTTACTACCTGGGACTTGGTAATAATGTGATCGTACTCAGTTCCGAGACACATTATTTTTCGTGAGGGAAATGAGACATGGTATGTCATGTGATATTAATGGAAAATTAGTTTTTAATCGGAAAAGGGGAAAACGGGATAAAATGTGGAAATTTTGTATTCTGTGTTGTGTGAAACGTGTTGTTTTTTAATTTTTGGACCCATGGCCCTAACTAAAGTGAATTCAAATGGTATTTAGGCATGGTAAAGAGAAGTTTGCTTTTATTTAGGGAGGAGTATGGGAAAAATTCACGAAAAAAATCTTTCAATAATTTATTGATGATTAGAAAAGTGTATCCGCCCTCATCAAGATCTGAAGAAGATTAGGTAGTAGTTTTAAATTTGAGATATTTTATGCATTGTTCTAATGTAAGGTGGAAAGAATTTGGATTATTGGAAAAATTGTATAGGCATGATTATTAAAGTATTAGATTGTAGGTAATTTTATAATTTAATGTAGTGCTCATTTATATTTTAAAGTGTTTTGAATTATTATTTATGAAGTATAGTATTGTGATTTTATTTTGTGGAATTGGTATCCGTTTTAGTACGTGCATGGATAATTTAATATCTGACCTAATTTTGATTGTGCGGCTGAATTCGTTGTGACATTATAATATATAGATATTTAAGGTAAGTTTTTGGATTTTTATTTATTTAATGTGTAATGTTCATATTTGGAAAGAGTAAATACTTTCGCGATCGGTATTTCATATATGTTCTTTACCGGTTAAAGATTGATAAAATTGATGTATTTCGTGAAATTTTTCTAATTATGAGAAAAAAGCAGTGTACATGGATATAGTGAAGATTTGCGCAATGCATTTTTGTGCTTTTCTGGGATGTTTTTTTAAGTAAAATAATTCACGTGACGTGTTTATTGATATTTTAATTAAATGATATTTATTTGTGAATTTATGTTTGTAGGATTGGTATCGTTGAAGTTGAAATAACGTGCATGGAATAATTTAATATTTGATACTAAGTATTTGTAATGCTTGCGGTATGAATTCGTTGGTGAAGTGTATATGTAATAGAATTTGGAGGTAAAAGTTTTGGATATTTTATTTATTTTATATGTGGAAATGTTCATATTTGTAAAGGGTAATACTTTTTGCGATCAGGTAATTTCATATATGTTCTTTTAACGGATTAAAGATTGAGAAAATTGTCATGTATTTCTGAAATTTTTCTAATTATAGAAAAAAGCAGTGTAATGGATATAGTGAACAGTGTGCACAATGCCATTTTGTGCAATTCTGGGATGTTTTTTTAAGTAAAATAAGCGGCGGTGTACAGGTTTATGTGTATGTGTTATTTTGAAAAACGCGTAAGGAGTATTGTATGGCACTTTTCCCAATTTTGCAGAATATTTCATGATTAAGCGTTTTGTTTGATAAAATTTCTAGCATAAGTGTAATTCGGGTAGTAGATTGTTGGAAGAAGTGTTCAGTAGAAAAGAAAAGAAACATGTCTTTACTTCGTGAAGACAAATGGCGGCGGAAAAAAATAGAGGGTTGCGTAGGAGAGTTGGTTGCCAAATTTTCGCCAAAAAATCGCCAAGTTACCATAATGTAAAGATCAACCGAAGTGTCTCCTCTCATGCATTCATTACCCTATTTGGGTAAATTTCCGTTTTAAAACTACAACTTCAATTATTCTGTATAAAATAAAATATTACTGTTTATACATACAGGATAGCAGACAAGAGGCTCACATACTACTGATATTAATGGTAAAGTATAAATCATTATGACAGGAAAAAAAAAATTATACATGCATATTAATTAGACAAAAGCTAAAATTCCCTTTACAATATCATTATTAAACCTTACAGTTTTTGTTTTGTTAGTTTCAGCCAAAGACTGCACTGAAATTAATCAACAAAACCATAATAATTCAGAAAACTTAAAAGTGTTTTGAATGCAAGTTTCTATACAGTAAATCTGATCTGCATACTTTTCCAGTATAAATTATTTTTCATGCATCCCATTAGTACATGAATTGGAGAACAACATATAGTTTGCCAAATTTAAACAATACCTATCAATATTTACTTTACTTTCTAAACTTTTTCTTTTTAAAACTCAATAACAAGTTTAGAAAATAGTTAAAATTATTAAGTAAAAAAATAATAAACAAAAAATGTTAAAAATGAACAAAATATATATATATTTACATTTGCTATAAGCATGCAGAGCAACTTATATACAAAATATGAAACCGTAAAAAGAAAACTGATTTACCGATTTTTATCAATAAACAAATAGCAGCTTGGTTTTGAAATATGCACTGCGTACAAAACTAAAAATTTTTATTAAATTAATGAGAAGATACATCTTTAGTTGCATAGTTTGTCTACTTTAATTGGAGTTAAAATTTTTTTTCATGCATCATACCATTACGAAAGCTTATCAGAAATTTACAATAGCAGATAAAGTACTATGATATGTAAGACTATTACACAACATTTAAAATATTACTTTCCTAAAAATGTTTAATCACGGTTACGTCATTCAGTAATGAAAAGAAAGGGTCCAACAATGCAGAATTTGTTCACAATCATAAAATTCCTGACAGAAGCAGAACATTTCAATGTGTACGTAACAATTTAATTAAATATTTTAATAAATAAGGGAAAAAATAGTACCTTGAAGACCACGAACTCTCATTAACAACCATAAATTTAGTATTCGAAACTAATCCAGCGAATTCAAGTAAAATAAATACATAATAACACGTAAAATGATAAAAGAAAACTTCATGTTTACATTATAACACTATCAGTACATTAACGAAATCAGCCAAGAGGATCTAGGCCTACGGTTTCACATCATAAAAGCTCAATTTCACTATCTACTTCCGGTGTCCTCTACATTATATCACGTGATAAGACAACTATTAAGTGATATCATTTAATTTAAGGACATATACTTTGAAAATAACAATTTAAATATTTGATCAAAGCAGTCACACTTTGAAGTTTACGTCACCGACCCCTTCACTCCCACAGGGTGCTCTCCTGACGAGTAGGAGGAGGGAACGAATCACTTCAGGAGATCAAAACAAATATCTTATAGGAACTCGTGAGGATTCATAAAAAATTTCCTAGCATTTTAATATTATTCTGTAGCCCAAAAGTTTGGTTAAAATTTTTAATTACGAAATTCTAACCCACTGTAATCCTCCTTTTGGAAGTAGCAAACATAATACAAGTTGCAGGAGAGGACGCATTTAAAATAAATATTTTTAACAACTTCTTTCAATGAAAAATTACTATCTGAGATCATGAAAGTTTGCAATAAAAGATATATTCGTTTGAGCTCTTGAATAAGGGTACTAAAAGAGAATAATATTTAATTGGTAGGTGGTGGCAACAAATAGGTAACGTACTAGTTGGTCACAAGTCCGTTACAATTATGCGACTACAAACGCTGACGGTTTACGGAAGTTAGCGGGTCTCACGTGACTGGTGGCAACAATACGTCACAAACTATTTGTCTGGGTTACTATAATTGGCTGTTTTCCACTTTTTTATGTGAATTTCGAGAAGTTTAGTTTATAGAAAATCCTTAATACCGTGATGTAAACAAACACCGATGGCAAAAAATTATTTGGTAACTACATCCATTACGTATTGATAAATGTTTCTACATGATTACATATAACTGCATTAATAACCAAATAAAACAAACTTAGATTACAAATGCGTTATGTAATGGAGCATGTAACTAAAACTTCAGAATTGTAGAATCCGGAAGATTTTTTTTTTCCGAGTTAGAAGTATAACAAAATACGAGCAGTGTTCTAATAAATTTTTAAATCTTCATATTCTTTAATATTACTGCTGTTTTTGATAACATGATCATAACATAACTGATAATTAATTATACTGCTGTTTTTGATAACATTAACAACTTTCGTTGGTGTTAAAATAAAATCTAGTAATTCTGCTGAATACTGCTTTTCATGAAAGCACGAGAATATTTTAATGGGATTATTAAAGTATCTGTAATAAAAAAAAAAAAAAGTAGGTTAGGAATAAACAGTAAGTAAAAGGAAGATTACTAATAATATATATTAACAATTGTATATATGTGTAATTTTGTGAATTGTGAAATAATGATATTTGTTCATTTTATAATTTAATAAATAAAAATTGTGAAAAAATTATATTTGTTCATTTTATAATTTAATAAATATTATGAAAAAGCTACGTACTTTTTAAAAAATCATTTGCACTTGTGTTTTTCATTATTGCATTTAAGTTTTATTCATTATTTGAATCAATATATATAAGAATATAAGAGAATCGTATACATTTTACAAGTAAAATATTATACGCAGTATGAATGGAGATATGTTACTGTAAGATCCTAAAGTCTGGTAAATCCTAGGTTTTACCAGTAAAACCTAGCTTTTACCAAAGTAGCTTGTTAAAAGCTCGAAGTATGCTTTAATATGATTCCACTTCAGCCTTTGAGGTAAAACCGAGGAGTTACCAATGCCTTCTGGTAAAATCCTGAAACGAGGGATTTAAATCAACCTTGAATAAGCCTCCGCACACAAATTCCGTCATGACACTTTTCTGTTCCTGCCTCTCCTTATTTGCACCATTCGCAGTCTAACTTGGACATAATTTTTACAAGTGTAAGCAGCTACGATCTAAAAAAGAAGAAGTTTGGGCGCAAGTGCAGAATCGCCCACTTATCGATGTGCACATGGACAAAGTCAAGGGAGTGCGTAGTGCCAAGTTTGTGTAATTCTCTGATGTTATTTTAAGCAAAAATAGGTCGTTGTGTACATGGACACTGAGTTTGTGCAATTCTTAGACTTGTTATTTTCAAGTTGGCGATTTTGAGAAATGCGCTAAGCAGGGGTGATTCTGCACTTTCCCTGAAGTTTGTTTCCATTTTTACATACTTTGCTTTTTTTATTTTGCTGATGGGAAATGAGTGATGTTATGCGGAAAAAGATTATGACATTTTGTCTGAATTTGTAAAAAATAAGCCTGATAACTGCTTTTATTTAACAAGTGAGAAATGTGTGATGGAGAAACAAACAGTTCATTACAGAAGGTTGAAACGCTGTCGTATTCTAATTGGAGGAAAGGACAAACTTATAATATCACTATTTGCAAAAATCCTATATTATGTTACAACTGATGAAGTCTTCAACACAGCACTCATATTGCAATTGGCCATGGTGAAAGAACTTGCATGATTAAAGAACTGAATCGTAAGTACAAGAATGTAACAGTAGAACCTATCTTCACATATTTTAAGACTATGCGAACCATGTCAGAAGAAACAAAAAACTGTGAAAGAGGGGATTGTAATTAAATCAGTTGTGCATAGTGAAATGAATTCTCGATGCCAAGTCAACCTAATAGATATGCAGTCCAATACTGATCATGATATGAAATTCATTTGAGTGCATCAAGATCATCTTACACAATTTGTCCTACTCCGAAGTTTACACAGTAAAAGAATTGTTGAAGTAGCATATCACTTTCTGGATATTTTCATAGCTTTTGGAGCCCTGAAACATTCTTCATTCTGATAACAGGAGGGAATTTTGCAACCAAATCAAATCATAAACAGTTTATGTGAAATGTGGAGTGATATAAATATAGCTCACTGAAAACCGAGACACAGTCAGTCACAAAGTTCTGTCGAACGGGTGAACCAAGATGTTGAGAACATGTTGGAAACAAATAAGATAGGAAATTGGTCAGAAGGATTAAAATTTGTTCAAAAATAAAAAACAAAGCATATCAGGAGGGATTCAAATGTTCATCTTAATGAAGCTATCCTGTGATGTCCTGCAAAGTTGTCCTATGAAGCTAGGACTTGCTAACTCAGTTTTGCCACATAATTTGATTAGTAACATGACCACTGAACAAGATTTAGAAAAAAGTTATAAGTATGTATTACTAATGAATGTGTGGTTAATACAGAAAATGGGAAAACTAATCTCGAATCAACAGTTGATTTAGAATCGCAAGATAATAATAATGCATATGAAAAATAATCAGGCATAACAATGGAAGCAGATACTGAAGTTTGAATTGAAATGAAAGAACCAGATATATGCTCTGACACAACGGGTGCAATTATCAAGAAAACTCAAAATGTGAAAGTGTTTCGAGAGACAGTTAAGGAAGGACTTCAGAAGCAGGCAAAGAAGATGAAGACTGTGTCTACTAAAAACTTTCCGAAACCTACATTTGGACAAATACTTTTGGAAAAATGTTAAAATAAAAGTACCTGATATTGATAGATCAAAAATGGATCCAAAATCAATAATAGCCGTTATTAGAGATATTTAAGATGATGAGTTTTTATGTTTTTGATAGTAAGTTCGGTAAATTAAAATCGTTGTAAACAGGAAAGCAGTTTATTTTTTGTAAAGAAAAATTTTTTGAACATTGAAGAAGTTGGTATAGAAGAAGTAAGTGTATGTGAAATAGTAAAAAAAAAAAAAAAAAAAAATTTCTTTAGTTGGGGGACAAGGACTTAGAAAATGCAGCTGTTAAAAAAGTGTACTACGAACATCTGTTTGTGCAAATCAGCTGATCTACTTTGTAAATCCAAATGCCATAACAATCAAACTTGTTGTAACAGGTAATAAAATGTATTAAAGTAGTAGTACTAAAGAAAAACATGCTACAGTTTTCTTATTTTTTTAGTTACGTGCTTATTTAACTCTACCTTATATGTTGTGGTATTTCAATTCCTAGGTTTTTAATCTTTTTTTTTTTTTTTTTTTTCCTCGTTTTCAATCTTAGAACTTTGTATTTATCAAGTAATAAAACAGAAGCTGCTTACAGTATCATCTGTATTCAGGCTTACAGTACTGGATATTAAGATCCTTCAAGATTCAGTGTTATTCAAGTTTGGCATGTTTGATAGTGAATACAAGTAAAATATGTTACAAATAAGAAATATTTGAATTTCAGTTATTATACTTGATACTCAAGTCATAAAAATGTTATTTATTCCTTGTTAGTTGAAATCATATTTTAGGATATTATGAGTTAAATTTCGTAAACTATATACTTAAAAAGAAAAACCTTTGAAAATTTGTCCTTAGGTGATAAAACAATATTAAAATATAGCATATAAGCATAAAATTAGAATTCAATAGCCAAGCCAGAATTTAAATTACTAAAGTTTAAAATAGTGTGAAGAAAGTCTCATGTTATTTCGAGCTTCCCAATAATGTTTAAGTAGAGAATTCTTTGTTAGAGCAGGACAAAGAAGGAAGTGATCACTATCCATAAAGCCAGAATGGCAGAGATAATCAAGACTATTAAAAATTCCAGTCTTACTCATATGGACAGCCCAGCAATGATATTCCACTGCTAATCAAAACACAACTATTGTATCTTCACAAGGGCACCAGTCTAGTAAATCATCAAAATCCTTGAGTTTTTCCCTCAATGTAAATTAAACAAAACCCTGCTGAATTTTAAGCTTCATGGCTCAAAGTTTATCTGAGACATCTATGAAAGTCTAAGAATGTTGTTGAAACTTGAGTTGGAAATTTGTATCTCATGAGACATGCACAGTTGTCCAGTTCAGTATAAAAGTAACTCTTAGGGTTGTTTTTTTCAATGCCAGTCAAGGCGAAGAATCTGATTTTGCATTTGTTCCAATTTGTTCTTTAAATCCTCAAAGGCAGTTATTAATTGAGTGCTGGAATATTTCATTACAGTAAGTAGGTTTGTAAGTTGTAAATAAAGTGAAAGTCGCATATCCCCACCTTACTCCTGTTGTTTAATTACATTGAAACAATTATTTATCCTTAACGTTAGTTCCTCCACCCATTAATTCCAAGACCAATTCCTATTTAAGACAATTACCATGTAGTTAAAAGTTTAGAAACAATTATTTCAATGATAATTCCTCCAATCCATTAATTCCAAGACAAATTTCTATTTAAGACAATTCCCATTTAGTTAAAAGTTTAGTATTGAGGCACATGGATATTATTATATAAAACTCCAA